CCACAGTGAGCCCCATGGGCCTGGGAGGAGCTCGGGGGCTGTCACTTTTGGATGCTGTGATAACCTGGGGTTCCAGGTCCCTGCAGGCCCGGCCTTGCTCTGCTCACCTCCTCTTTCCTCACCTAAACTGGACAACAGTTCAGAGAGGGAAGAATTCCCCTCTCCTCAGGAGGGTGGCCTACTGTGGGCTTTCAAAGGCCTCTCTGAGCACAGCTTCAACACCTCTTCCCCCCGCCTCCCCACCCCCGCGCCCAGCTCTGTTCTCCAAGAGGTGTATGTAATGCATATGCACTGGCCGAGTGAAAGAGGAAAGAGCCCAGAAAGAAATGCTCCGAGTATATGCAAGTAATAGTTTCTGAACCATTTCCAAGGAATATTGTTTGTCTTTATAATCATTTAAGAAAAATAATATATGAGGCTCAGCTAAGCCCCACTGGCAGCCACTATCAGCATTCCCCAAATGCCCCCTCTCTCTCTACCTCTCTCCTTTTAATTACACAAGGACCAAGAAGATGTAGGGTTTTCATAGTGCGAAGAGGAGAGACAGGCAGGCGGGGAGAAAAGCAGCCACAGTAACAGCTCCTACGCAAGTCCCCTCATCCGCATAGAATACAGCAACCTCAGGCACCCTGAGCCCAGCCCGGTGAAGCCAAGCTGGCCCTTGGGTCAGAGCAGCCAAGTCCTACACACCCGCTTTCTTTACCCACAAAACCCTCTCAAAGACGCAGCTCAGGGCGCTCACACACAGAGCTCTGGGAAGAGATGGTGATGTGGGGCAGCCTGGAAGCAGTCGGGAGCCCATAGGACTATATGTGGCAGGGCAGACAGGGCCTAATTCAGGCCCATCCTGTTCATCTTGGCTGGGAGTGCCTGCCCACGAAGTCAAACCCGTCAGCCCTGTCAGCTCAGCCTTCAGCCAAACCTTCACCCACGCCTTCCTGCTCTGCTGGGGATGGAGAAGGGTGCGTTCCAGGAAGCAGGGCCCCACTGCGGGGCAGGGTGGGGGTGGGGGGAGGCGGATCTACACATTTCACTGCTTCTCAGAAATGCAGCTCCTTTTCCAGTTCTTTCCTATGGAGGTGGGGCTCACTGGTCCCTGATATTCTGGGGGTGAGGGATGAGACTGCCTGCCCCACGCTCAGAACTAATCCTGATTCAGAGCAATCACCTCAGTGGCCCTGCCAGTCCCCCTCCTTTGTCCTTCCACCCCTCACCTCCCCCTGCCTGCCTTGGAGTGTTCTGTCCTGAGCCTCCTCCCCACTGGACACCCTGGAGGGTAGCAATGGGGAAGAAAGTCACAGCCAGGAAGAATAGGAGTCAGGACATTAAGACTAAAATCGGTAGAGATAAGCTGTAAGCACGGGCTGAGGGAGACCCTGGGAAGTAGGGCTGGAGTTGACCTTGCAGATCAGATTGGAGTAAGCCCAGTATTCACCTGTCTGAGCCACCCTCCCTGCTACACACACAACTCTGCAGGTGTCCTCTAGCTGTCCAAGGACCTCAGGGCAACGCCAGGATAGAGAGAGCTGGACGCTGTGAGAAAGGGGTGGTCAAGTGAGATGGAACCGAGTGTCATGCCCAGGAATGCCCACCGCCACGGGAGCAGGCCAGACAGGAGAGAGTGCCTTTCCCAATCCACTCGTCCAAGGCCATGCTTGCCATCCACTCTCATCTTTGTGGATGCTCCCACACACACAGCAGGTAGAGAAGCCAGAGAAGGCGGTGCTTGGGGGAGGGGGTCTCCTTTCCTTGGGGTCCTCAGCGAGTGAGCAGTACGTTATAATAATGACCTCTTAACACAGCTGGAGATTCCAGTGAAGGTGCACACACCACCTCCTGCCATCCCCATTCCTCAAAAGGCTAACGGAACAAGGGAGTGAGGTGCCCTGCAGCAGCCAGGACCAAGCTAGGGGGTGGGGCCCAAGGCCTGTGCAGCAGGGAGGGTTCCATACCCCAATCCACTTCAGTTCCAACACTGGGCCCACTGCTGTTTCCCTCCCAAGTGCTGCAGGAACATTCAGCCACGGTGGGAAGTTGGAGCAAATCATAGTCCATTTACCCTTTTCCTGCTTTTGGCCAGTGTGCCAGCCCCTATCTCACAGCAGAGCGGGCTGTACACATGAGTAGAGAGGAGGGCAGATAAGAGGAGACAGAAATGGGCCTTCCAGGAAGAGACTGGGTCTTCCCCAGCAGTGGGGAAAGGTTGGGGGCCCTGGGCCCAGGAAACATCTGCACCAACACGGGCTCCGAGACACTGGGGACACTTTACAGCCACCTCCTCCCCACGGTCCCCCGTCTTTAGGAACCCCCAGATGAGGCCTCACTGAAGGCTATCTTAGCTTGTGAAAGGGAAATGCAGGTGTGAATCCTTAGACATCACCCTGCTCTTCCGGAATCTGCGATGGTCAGTTGCCCCCTCTTGCTCCCCTGGATACGGATTAAGAATCTCCCAGTGGTCTCATGTCCTGTTCTTTTTGCACCCATTCTCTCCCAAGCTCTCTTCAGCTCTCTGCAGGGCCTGCTCCAGCCCAGCTGTGGTAGGGAGGCTGGGGGAAGGCGACTAGGACAATCCAGCCATTGTCATCCATACCAACTGGACCTAATTCTGCAGCGAGCTGAGGTGCCACGCCAAGGACAAATTCGGCCCTCTGTGGGTGTGTTGGGCAGGCTCCAGAGGTTCCCTACCTAGATCTCTCAATGTCTCAGGCTGTGGGGGTCGGGTGGGGGTGAGGCAAGATGTCAGAAGCCTTTTCCAGCTCTACAGTTCTCAGAGTATGTGGGAAGGGAAGGCAGGGGGCCCTCTAAGAACTTTTGTTCTTGCTTGTTTTAGAATCTAACTCCAATTGTTCCAGATTTCAGTCCACCCTGTTCTTCAGGGGAAGACAAAGAGAGCAGACTCCTCCCAGACTCTTTTTAAAAAATATATATATTTTATTGATTTTTTACAGTGAGGATGTGAGAGAGATAGAGAGTTAGAAACATCGATGAGCGAGAAATATCGATCAGCTGCCTCCTGCACACCCCCTACTGGGGATGTGCCCGAAACCAAGCTACATGCCCTTGACCGGAATTGAACCTAGGACCCTTCAGTCCGCAGGCCAATGCTCTATCCACTGAGCCAAACCGATTAGGGCTCCTCCCAGACTCTTAAATCAACTGGTGAATCATGGCCATGGTGAAGGCCATAGAGGTTAATGGTCAGGCTCGGAGTCAGATGACCAAGGACAAGTTACCTAACTGCTCTAAGCCATAGGTCCCTATCTACAGAATGGAGATGATTAGCATTTTGAGGAGCCCAGCAAATGCTCCCCATACCAATATCCAGAAAATAAAGACAACCCTCTCCCAGTTCACCATTGGACCCCGGTTCTATATCCTTTTGTAGATACCAAATCAGAACTCAAAAACTCTAAAAACTGAGAACCAAGGACACAGGAAAGGGATGGAAAAGGTGGAGAAACTGCTACCCAACTCTCACTGCACTAGGAGGAGGGGCAGCCACTGAAGGGGAATCCAAAGCTGACCTTCCCAGCTCCAAGCTGGCTTCCTCACCCGCATGAGGAACAATTCTCAAGGTAACAGGTTAGGGGTGAGGAGGCAGTACAAGGCACTCTGGCATGACATAAACAACATCCTCGTTAGCCAGTGAAGGTGCAGGGTTCTTCTGAAGGGCTCAAGTCAAAGAAGGAAACACCTAGAACCAACTACCCTCAGTTTCCTGGGACAAGAGCATGGGGAGACCCATCAGCAGGATTCTGCATCACCACAGGCATCATTTGTAGGGTTGGCTTGGCACGGGAGAGGGATGCTGAGCTCCATATCCTCCTGAGATTTCACGGTCACAGACACTGATGGGTCCTAAAGAGCAGCCCTAGCTGGTTTTGCTCAGTGGATAGAGCATCGGCCTGCGGACTGAAGGGTCCTGGGTTTGATTCCAGTCATGCCCAGGTTGTGGGCTTGATCCCTAGTAGGGGGTGTGCAGGAGGCAGCCGATGGATGATTCTCTCTCATCATTGATGTTTCTATCTCTCTCCCTCTCCCTTCCTCTCTGAAATAAATAAAAACATATTAAAAAAAAACAAACAAAAAACAAAGGCCAGATCTCCTTCAGCCGCAGTATTTGGTATTTCTCTGAATACATAGGACAAAGCCCAGTACTCAGCAGCAATATTTGCTAGTGATTGACTTAGTTAAATGTGGCATCGTCAGAAAGCTCTGTGTGCCTTACTGTCCTTCAAAAACTTTTATCTAGAAAGAAGACATTACCTATCTCTTGGACCTGGAGGTTTTGGGTAAGTCCTAACCCACAATACACTAATATAGCATATCCCTGGCTCTCCCAGGACCTACCAATTCTTATCCATAATTCTACCCAGTAGCCTCAAAAAGAGCGTTCTTTGGGGGGGTGGGGAGGCAATGGGGCGATAAGGACACATATGTAATACCTTAATCAATAAAGAAAAAAAAAAAGAGCTTTCTTTGTCCAAGGCAGGTTCATGAAGACAGATAAGGAGCAAAGACAGTTTTGCCCAAGCCTGGTTACATTTTACCCCCATTTATGTCACAGAATTAGCACTTCTATGTCTTATCATGCCACCCCCCTCCAAACATGCAACAGACAGCATGTGCCCAGCCCCATGCCTCAAGATCCTGCCAAGGTTACAGGCAGATAAGCAACACAAAATGCCTTTAAGAACCTTCCCTTTTCATTTGAGACCCTCTTGGCAGCCAGGCAAATTCCTGCCCAGCAGGGGGATGGAAAGGAGACTTGAAACTGAGCTTTCTACTATGGGTATCCTTGAAACCTCAAGGGAAGGGAAAAGAAAGCGTAAAGTGGAGACCCATGGAAATGTCTCCTGCTGAGCCGGGCTTAGCAGGAATGCCCAGGAGGAATGGCAGGCAACAGCCCCATTCCATCGCTCCTCTTCCAACCTGAGCTCTGGAACCAATTCTGCTTCCGTTAAGCAATACTGCCCTGACCACTTCCCTGGGGCTACCGGGCTTCCTCGAGGCGTCTGTAGTAACTAGACCAAGAAGAAACTGAGGCTCTGATCCAAAGGGAAACCGTATTCTAGGAAGCAGCAGCTGCTTCCGACTGGAGGTGGAGAGAAAGCGCCAAGAGGCCGTATCTCAGGAGGAAACGTGGCCCCGGGACTCACGGTCAGGAGCTGCCCTCCCCCGGTCCTACCTGTACGATGTCCAGCACCATGCCCGCAGCCACAGTCCCGAAGCCTGCCAGGAGGAAGGGAAAGAGCACTTGCAGCCCAATGGAAAAGGAGGTCTCCTTGAGCGGGGAGGGTGGTGCGGGGCCACGGTCTGTGCTGACGTCGTCACTTTCATTGCTCTGGCTCCCGTTCTCCAGCAGGGCGTCCTCCTCCCGCACCCCCTTGGCGTTGGCCCGAGACTCAATCACCACCACCTCTACCCCAGCCTCATCAGGCCCCAGGAACTCGGAGGTCCCGGCCAAGGGCTCTCGCCCGGGGCCATCGGAAGAGCAGGGTGAAGCAGCAGGGCCAGTCCCGTTCAGCTGGTGGATGTCCTTCAGCTCCAACTTAGAGGACATGACGGGAAGGGAAAACAGGAAGGGGAAACTTCTCTCCTTTTTCTTTTTCGCTTTCTCTCTCCCTCTCTAACTCAGGAAAGAACTTAGTCTTGGGGTGAACCCAGGCTCGGGTGCCGCAGGACCTCTTCCCACGGCTCTCCGCTCCTACCAGGTGCTGCAAAAACTGATCGACCAACAGGCAGCCCCATCAAGCACTGAAGCCGCAGGCTGGAGGGAACCAGAAACTCCTCACCAGCCCCCGCAGCCAGCCACTAGGGGTGCAGACGCCTGACGCCTGTTGTCCAGCGCCGGGCTGGGGGGAAATTAATCAGGCCTCTTATCTTCTTTGGTTCTCAGCAACAGGTTGCTCAGAGCGGGGACATCCAGGGTGGAAGAGCCCAGCCAAATGTGGGGTAACCTCTGGGGCGGCCCTTCTTTCATGAAAAGTGGTTTGAGTTCAGTTCTTTCCGAAGGCAGCGTGGGCCTGGGGCTGCGGCTTCTTCCCACGCCTCTGGCTGGTGTCCTTAAGCTTCCCACAGCTTCTCAGGTTCTGCTGGTCCCGGGGCAGTGCCTGTCGTCTTTCACCTTTCTTCCAGAGATTTCCTTCCTTCCCGGGAAGACCTGGAACCTCCCAGAATCCCCGGTCCTTCAAGTCACGAGAAACTGCGTGGAATACCTTATGTGGGAGGAAGACAACAAGAAGAGAATGTTATGATCCAGCAAAGGGCATCTCGTACTGGGAGGCACAAAAGGAGGCACAAGACCAAGAGTTTGTTCTGGCCATTAAAATGACCCATTCCTGCACGGCAACATCTGGAGGCCCAGCAGGCACCATCCCCGCCACCCTCCCAATCAGCAATCAGCAACCCACCGCTCCACAGGGCTCACCCACAGTGGTGAGCAGCCTGGGACGGGGAAGACGCTGTGCAGGAGAGCTTGCATTGTCTTCTTAGTAATCGGGGGTGGGGGCAAGGATGTCCTGGGGGACACCCCTTCTTGGATGCTCACGAAGAACCTGGGATTATTTAGATGTGGTCTCCCAGGGGAGTCAGTTGCACATTCAGGCACAGACTCTTTGCCACACAGACACCCCACTGTAGAACATGATTGTTTACAATCACAAGACAGCCACCCAGGGCCATTAACCAGGGAGAATCTGATCACTGAGCGAAGGTCCCCAGACTCCCAAGCGCCCGAGCCCCTGAGAAAAAAAAAAAAATAGGAGGACTCCCTGGGCAATGAGGCCAGCCTGCCAGCCCGAGGCCAAGAGCCAGAGGCCTCCCCACTCCTGCCCTTGAGAGTCAACAGTGTTACAAAAAGCTCAGACGCTGACTTGGAGCCAGGCCTCTTGTCTCTGCTCCTCTCCCCCTGCTCTGGGCCCTGTGAGCTTGTCAGATAGGGACACGGGAGTTATCGCAGTTTGAAGAGAAAGAGGGTAAAACTACTGGTTGTTATGCACACATTTCAGTTCTCTCGGTTCGCCCTGTTCCCCAGGGTTGCTGAGAGTTGGACATAGTGGAATTCTTAAAAAACAAAAGCACCAACTAAAAAAACACAAAACCAAGCAAAACAAGAAACAAAGCAGCATAAACCAAAATGTACTTGCTCCCGAGTGTATGTCTTTTGGGCTGTAATGAGCCCACTTTTTTTTTTTTTTTTTTGCCTAAAGGAGTCCCCAGGCCTTGATCCCACCCTATTCCATTTCACCAGAATAGCTTTTACAAAGTGAAAAAATAGTTTTAAAGAGAATTTCCCGAGGTTAAGAAGAATAGGTCCTTAAGTATTCCAAACACACAATTAGTCAACTCCGGCTTGGGAAAGGGTGGGTCAACTCCAGCAACTGGTCCATGAGTATTGTTTTCTGTCAACTCAAGCCGCCAGGACTCCCTTTTCCAGGCTCCTTTAACCTAGGCTGTGGTCCTTTCCAAGACCCTCACCCGAGCGGAAACCTCTGAGCAGGAGGGAGTCCACTGCTCCTGTGGCAGGAAACTTTCTGAGTCTGCTAAGACTTGGCCCTCCTCCCTCGTCCCGTCTTCCACGCAGGCCACCTAACCTGAAAGGAGACGGGCAGGAAGGGAAGCCAGTCCCTAACTCCACTCCTTCCAGTAAAGAGACTCCGGACAGGCCTTAGGCCCTGGGATGAAAGAAGCAAAAACGGAACCAGGATGCCCTGAGAAGGGGACACAAAAGCCCCGTTTTACTATCCCCAAACCCACGGAGGGGGAGAAGCAAACGGCTGTCCTCCCTCGCCTCTCCCCGATTCGGACTCAGCAAATGCGCTGCGAGCCAGGACTCCCGCCCTCCGCCCCCCACCCCGCAAGGGGACTGACCTGGTCCTCGCTTAGGAGGAAGGGGGGCGCCTGGCGAGCGGCAGCAAGGGCCCGTGGTCTCGGGGAGGGCAGGGTGCCCCCTCTTCTCATCACTCCTCTTCCTCGGCCGTCCTCCTCGGCCCCCGGCGTGCCCCCCCACACTCCCAGCCAAGGCGAGCGTCCAGCCGCGACCCCCGGCTCGCTACATCTCGCCTCTGCGCTACAGCGAGGCCGCTGCTCCGCTTCCACGAGGGGAGGTGGCCGGTGGGGCAGGATATACCTCCTCGGGCTCGGGCGGGGGGCACTCGTACCGGGAACTGTGGGGCCGAGCTCGCTCGCCCCCAATCGCTTTTGGCCCGCGGACTCGGGCCCGACTGGTTGGCTGCTAGTGGCAAACGTGATCTGGGGCACCCTGGGTGGCCCCCCCGACTCCATCAAAAATAGACTCTGGATGGACAGCAGCAGCCACCAATCAGGGACGGAGGAGGGGCGGGCCCCGCCTCTCCCGGCCCCTTTCTTTCGCTGCGCAACGGGAGGCGGGGCGTCGGGGAAACCCTGGCGGGGTGACGGGAACCCGGAGCGGGGCGGTCTCCGCCGCGCGGA